CCCCTTATTACTGATTTGTGAGTTAAGGCTTCAGATTTCCTTATCTCACCTAAAAACAAAATAAGAGCAAAGTCAGAAGTGTAATTTGACTTCTTCTTTGGGTCATTCTCAAGGTCACTCTGGCAGCAGTCTGATAAAATAAATAGCACAAACCAACAGGAAAAACCTGAATTACAGAGCCTGTTCCAGTGCCTACCCAAGTCAACGGATGTTTGTACTGGTTACAGTGGGCATTTGATCAGGCTCAGGAGGGGATAATTTGGCACTCAAAACCACTTTACCTCCTTTTTTTTCTAATTGCCATTATCTCAATCTCACTAGCATAGTCCAATTTTGGGCTTACATTATATGCAAAGACCCATTGTGTTGTCAAAGACAATCATGATGCTGTTATACTGCCCTGATGATATCCCTGTGTTTTTCTCTAGTACACTGGCTCCTGTGTACTCTCCTGTAACCTCTTCTAAGATTAGCATTTCCCACTGCCTTGCTGGTATGATTTTCCTTTAAACCCTTTCCCCCCCACCACCATTGTAACTCTAATGATACATTCATTAGAAAAAAAGACAGCTCTTATTTTAATTATCTGTCATTCAAACACATTTTCTTTACATATATTTCAAGCATAATTAATTTCATAAAATAGTTTCAGTTTCTCAGCTCAGATTCACATGTGCCAAAGCACAGGTGCATAGGTCCATAGGACGAATTTATCCTTTTAGTTAGTGATACACTGAGACTGTACACATATTGATACACAGGTACACCTATACCTACCTAAACCCATAGACAGAAATGTACCAAAGACACTGGCGTCAGTTTGGAGCTAGTTGGTGACAAACAGTACCAGAAAAAAGTACATACATACAAACAAACAAATATCATATTAACTTCTTCACAAGATTTGAAGTTCACACATGAACTTCTCCCAGGCAATCATTTTAAATGACTCTGAAGAGAAAAACTGAGATAAATGCAAACCTTCAGGAATCCTCTTTTTAAGTTTGAAAAGTTGTCTTCCTACCTGCCACCCAGAAAAAACAATTGATTACATTTTCACAAATCTGGTCCCTTACTTTAAGACAAACACAGGATCTGTAAATGCGTTTCTAAGGTAAAACTTGGTTTTATTATTTTTTGTCATTTCCTTATATATATGCAATGAGCATTCTGAGTGCTTCACTTATCTCTTTTGTAGGCCACAATATGAGACAGTCTTTTCCAAATGCTCATCTTTTCTCCAAATTAATATAGCCTTAGAATTTTACCCTCTGCAGAGCAAACAACATTCCACAATGATGTTGTGCTCTACTGGTACCTTTGTACCTCTCCATAGATTTTCATGTGTTAGATGCTAACAACCTTCTGTTTCTCCCTTTTTACAAAATAGGAATCAGAAAAGTTATCCCAGTTATCCTCAATAGTCTGAGTCCCAAAAGAGCCCAGAAATTACCCATGTGCACCCTTTGCTTCCATTACATTGACACCTGCCTAAGTATTAAAGCAATACTCATCATCATGATACACGGTTTTCCAGCTGGCTTTCATAATAACACTAGCCCTTGATACAGAAGTATATTAAAACTGCCTTCTCTCCTGTCCTAATAATTAGCCTATACCTGAACTGATTGATCTCTTGCAGTCTCACACTGCCCACCTGCATAGAAAGTTTCAAATACTGAGGTAGTATGATTTTAGTGAAAATAAACTATAATGACCAAGGCAGCAAAGAAGAGATTTGTTGTTCTTTCAGTCTTCTCCCCTGAAGAAAAAATGTTGGCAGTAGGATTCTGAAAACAAACACTACAGTCAGCTTTCCTCCATTTTTTGACAGTTGGAAGCAAAGTTAAATGGAATGCATTAAAGCTTTTTGTTTCAGATAGATCAAAGAAAGATGTATCATCAAGAACAGTTTTCAAAGCACATGCTTACACATACACACTCCTGCTTTTCGAGGGCCCTTTTTAATAGAAGTTACTGTCATTTAATTCCTAGATTACCTGGTGCAGTCCAACAGAAGTCATGTATGACCTTGGGTTTTATGAACATGCTTAGTTTCCAGTTCATAGTAACTGAGATGGTTCTAGAAGCAACCACTTCTTACAGAGATGGTCCAAGAGAAAGGCAGAGGAACAACACATCCATATCTGCACTGCTTTTCGCTGTGTCTACCTTTTTCACTATTCATGTCAATGCTTGCTTTCAAGCAAGCAGAGGATTTTGTGCTAAATCAGTTCATTATCAGGTATTCACTGAAGTCCTTTGACTTCACCACACAGTCAGGAGCTTCTGGTAGAACCACCAAGCAGACAGCAGCTCCTCACACTACTGCAGTCAAGCCTCACCGGGAGTTACTTATCAGCATTTAAATCTCTGCTCTGTATTAGAGTAATAACTCAGGAGAAATGATAAAAAGACAACTAAGCATCTGTTTGAAGGCTTACTGAAGCCCTGGTATTTACCTAGGCTATGAAGCACAGCAAAACATGGTCCTACTTAAATTCTACCAGCCAATATTATCAGTTATTGCCATTCTAAAATATTTTTCTAGCCCTTAAAACACCTCCTCCAGGGTAAGGATGCTGGCCTTATGCTAGCCAGTGAACATATTGAAAATAAGCTTTGGCAAACAGTTTTGACATAGATATTTTGGGCTGCACATTTTGTTGATAATGCACAGACACAATCAGTACTACATGATATTTTTATTAAAACCAATTGTGCATATGTTAAAGGGATTAAAGACTGGGTGACGGCTCTCAACATGTTGTTAATATGAAATCAGTCAAAAAACAGCATTTCTGTGAAGATGGCTTGTACACAGTCTGTCTTGATGCACTACTGCAGAGCATACACATCAACAGACCAGAAGGAAACAGAGCAGAGCTATATTCAGAAATCTTCAAGAGAAGGTAAAAGCCGTGGTAGATCACCAGCTGTGACTGAAACTTGCTGGTAATTCTTGAATGCATAAAGAGGGATAGAAAAAAAGGTAAGGAGTGGGAACTGATAATATATGTAATAGTGATATTAATCATCACCAAATTACTTGATATGGAAAATTAAGATATTTAAACAAAATAGTTTTGAAAACCTGCTGTGTAGCAAGAGATCTAAAAAGCCCTAATCTAAACTGTCCAGAAAATACAAGTGCTAGACTGACCTTGATGAAGAAACGCTGATGTGAGAAGAGCCTTGAAGACATGTTGAGTTGCTACCTGAATCTAAACAGAATAGTGGGGTGGCATTGTACTATCATTCAAACCACTTAACGTTCGATACCCCAGGTTTAGACCCTCTATGGTAAGTCAGGACAGAAGAACCATCACCACTTGTTCAAGTCTGCAGTGGCCATGCTAAGGAGATAAAATATAAGGGTCTCTACACAGCTAAATGAAGCATCAAATCTGATTTCAGGCTCTGTCCTCCTCATCCCAGCCTCCCAGATTTTCAGGTTTGGAAAATTGTTTTCTGATCCCACCATGCCTGCAGGTTTCTTCCTTCTGTACCCTGCCTTTAAGAGCTTCAGCCTGAGATTTGAGCTGGCTTGTTGCCATGCCTGAGTGGACGTAATACCTGATGGTTTTTAGTGGGTGAGCAAGAGGCTTTTCTGTTCCCTGAACAGAGCCATAAGCCTGACATACACATTGCATCCTACTAATGAGCATGTCTGTGGCCTTCAAAGGAGATAGGAACTGGGACAGGAAACAGAACTTCACTCAAACTTCTCCCACAGGTTTACACCATGGGATTTAAGTGGTGGACAAACCTAATGCCCAGATTTAGTTGCAAGCTTGACCAAATTTTATATATATGTTTTAGTATAGAGCTCAGCCTGAAGAAATAATGTCATGGATAAATTCACTTTACTGAATTTAGTTTCCCAAATGAGTGACTGAATAGTCACTCTTGTTCACCTTAATGATAGTTTTAGGGGAAGTTGTCCATCGTGTCCATGTATCTTTTCTTCACACAAAAGCATACAGCTCTGTACTGGATACTAACAATCTATACAAACTGATATTATTACCAGAGTCACTGTGTATATGTTGGCAATTACGTATGTTTTTCTTCCTTGCACTATATAAATTTCCTTTCCCTAATAAAGTGTGGAAGGTTTCCCAAAGAGTTTAATAGCCCAGAATCACTGAAGTGTAGCTGTTAAAACAAGCTAAACTGGTTTAACTTCTGAGCTGTCAGACTTAATTTGACATGACAAGATCTGACCACTGTTTTCATGTGAATTGCTAAAATTAGGTCATTTCCAAAGAGACGCAATAAATACAAAAAAGAATGCCAAAGTTCAGGGGTTTGGGGGGTTTTATTGTTCCAAATTTCCTTTCTTGAGTAGCAAAACCACATCAATTTATACAATAATCTAAAAGAAATAGTTTAAGCAGTTAAACATACTAATACCCATGAAGAGTAATGTTCCTGGAATTAAAAAATATCATTTTCAAAAGGTATAAGAACATTTTTTTTAAAGATATTTAGTTCAATCATTTTTTTTTTTTCATTCAGGCAGTAGAAGCAAATGCATATGGCAGGAAAATCTGTTAAAACATAGTGCTTTACACCTTTGTACCTGTTCCAAATATGTTTGTCTATAAATTAACTGCACATGGTGGTTTTCACATTGGCTTATTTTATCCATGTGTTCAAGAAATTTAATGCATCATTTGCATTGTGTCAATTACAATTCTATTCAGCAGACAAAAAGAGGAGGGGTATAAACATACCTACATATTTTTGCATTTTTAATATGCAATTTATGCCCATATATAAAGGGAAAAAGTAATCCTGTACTTCTACTGCATTTCTGAAGAGCTGAACTACTTTAAAATACCAATGTATTAAGCATCAGAAAGTGATGTCATGCTTTAAAATAGCATCATTTTACGGACAGAAAAGCTGAGCTATGGCTTACTGATCTACACAACTGCATGGTTTTTGCCTCATCAGCCATTGTCTCTTGGCATACACAGTGAGACTTCATATACCTGCATGCTCTCCAGCAGCAATTAGCACTCATGTCAGCAGCAAAATATTATTACTCGAGTTTTCCTCAAGGAAACCCACAGATTTCAGAACAGAGACCAGATATTCCTGATGCAGAATACACTCTAAAGACATCACAAGCCTGCCTCCTGCTCCTGCAAGCCAGGGTCCCAATTTAAGTAAGGCTGGATCCCAGAATGCCCCAGTTTGGCCACCAACTCCCTCAACACACACTCCCACCCAAAGTGGGATGGGTGTTTATCACATGTTGATTGGGTCACCTCACCCTTCTTTTAATTTTAGGGCATGTGAAAGCTACCATACAGACAGGTCTGAAGACAGGAGTCCTTCACTTACTTGCAAGAGTAATAGAGCACAACCTTTTCCATTAACTAGTAATTTAATGCATCTCATTCATTGATGTAACCTTTTAGAAGACAGGAAAACTGCTAGATCACCAAGTCCCATTCCCAGCTCCTGCAGACCACACATTCCCTTTCACAAACTAATCAAACCACAGCTAAAACTACCTGGCTTAGGGGTTTATCTTCTCTATTCCCACCATTGCTTTTATTCTCAGGTTGTTTTGAGACTCACACTTCAGATTTGTTCTCACTTCTACCTTTAATTTAACCTCATGATATCTCAATAATATTCTTGGCCTTATGGAGAGGCAATAGAATTTGGATTCTTTTTTTCCATTCACTCTGCACTGGAAGCTTCTGCTTTCACAGGTGTAGTAAATACATCCTTCTTGGTAGTTAGACTGTGACCAGAAATCTCATTTCCTATCACCTTTCCTATGGTATCAGCCTGCTCTGGAATCAGACAGAAATTTGAGATTTAAACTCTGTATCTCTTCACTCAATACAATGCTAGATGGCACACTTAAAGAGGTTACATATGGAAAAGGTTAATGCCACAATCCCACAAGAACTTGCCTAAAAGCTTAATTTCAGGCGTATAAATAATTCCATTAAATTCAAATTACTCAGGACCATTGAATTCAGTGTGCCAATGCCCATGACTAAATTACAAGGCACGGGATTGTGGATGTAGAGATCATTATCCATGACCCAATTTGGTGGGTCCTCACATAAATCAGATAAACAAATCCCTTCTGCTCATATTTGCAGAGTGCAGAATCCTTGCAAGCTGGATGTCTTAAGAGCTGAAAACAGGGAAAAACATCCAAGTACCTCAGGCACTACGAAGAATTGGTAACTGTGGCCTCAACACCACAGTTTGGTCACTTTTTAAGGACAAAAAATATGGTATAAACAAAACTTAGTGCAGCTTCTTGATGGTACTAATAGGAAAAGATCCATTTGGTAAGCATTGCCTAGCAGGTAGAAATGCTGTCCTTAGGAGCCTCCTTCAATTTTCTTTTTAAAGCTTAACTATATTACAGGAAATATTTGGCTAAGGTGTGGCTATTCATCATGATATCTGTATTAACAGCAGGATCAGAGAGGTTTCTGTCAATTTTTCATTTTAACCTGGCTTTTACTCTCATAATATAATTATAGAACCCCATTTCATTTATGTTATAGAAAGAAATTAAATCTTTTAATTTTTCTTTTACTAAAAGAAAAGCTTTTTCTTTTAAAAAAAAACCTGTGGTAGCGTGCAACATATTTAGAGCTTACGATCAGCAATTTCTCTAAAGAGGAAGATTTAAGGAAAAAAGTGGCTCTAAAAGTAATTTCAGCAGGAAAGTAGATTAAATATCCACCATATTAGTCACAGAGTATTAGATGGAATTGGATTGACTGGGAAGAGGTCAAAGAGTTACTGAAGGTTTTAGCCCACCAGAGGAGCAATAAAATTCAACCATACTTAAAATCATTAGCTTTAAACCCTTTGATATTAGATCCAAACCTCCAGTACTTACAGAAGGAACCTCCAAGCACCATGCCAAGCCAAAAAGAAACCCTTTAAGACATCTACATTTCACGGAAACCTGTGTGTGAAGCAGAGGAGTGACGATAAGAAAGACTGGGACACAAATAGAGGGGAAAGGAAAATGCTGCCTTTCAAGAAAGTTAGTTTATAAAATAGCAACATGTTCACTTTAAGAAGTTCTAGTGGAGCCTGTGATTCTTTTTTTAGCTAACAAGTAACTCGCCCACCAATTCCTGTACGCTTTCTTCTGTTTGCTTCCTTGCCCCCAAAACCACTGCTCATTTCTCCCATCCTTTCATCGTGATGACAAGGTGCATTCCCCCTCACAAAAAAGGGGACGTGTTTGCAGAGTGAGGATAGCACCAAAACTCAGCAATCGGGGATCTGAATTTTGTGACGTGATAAAGACACTATGTGCTGAGAACAAGGCAAGGAGGGAACCTAAAAAACCCTGAAGTCTTCTAGCACCAAGACAACCCAAAAGAAAGCAAAAAAAGCAGAGGAGTAATTAAAAACGCTGAAGACAGTGACAGGTCTCAAGTTTTTGAACTGGCTCCCTATTTAACAGAAAGGACGGTTTCCATCTGAGAGAAGAGATAAAAGAGAGACTTTGCTGTAACTAACAACCAACTGACATACTTCTGTTGGTTTCTTACATTTTTCCACTCATTTTGAAAATGACAAGTACAATTAAAGTTGTTAAATACATCTAGGGACTTGTCAGTCAACTAAGATATCAACTCTTACAAATTCGCCACAATAAGTACTGTGCACAGCACAATGCAGAAGAAATTAATCTCACTAGAAAGATTCAGTCATTTGATGACCCTATAAAAAACTCATCTCAGATTTCCTATTTTCTGGGGCAAGAAGAACTCTTCATGTGTTTATGAACAGAAAATGTATGTCTTTAACTTCTGTAGTATAGCAAGATGAAAATCTCAAGAACAGCTTTGCTGCCTCTTCTGAAATCTTTGGGATTTTAATGCACATATTCCACAGGAGCACATTAGTATTTTTGCAGAGGTATTTCTTGTTTTATCCTTCATGAAAAATAAAGGGGATGCTCGAGGAAGATACTTTTTAGGGATAAGTTCCACTAAACAAAACTTGGTTGGGACCCTGCCATAATGCTCAAACTAAATTAAGCAGGACCTAAGTAATACTCAAGCCTTGTGTTAGCTATGCTTGCAGGATGATTTTAATCTTAACACATAAAACCTCTTTTAGCTATAGCCTTTCAAGCCATCCAAAAAAAGCCAAACCTTCAAAACGTGATTTCAGCACTCAGCAAATCCGTGTGTGGTAACAGGTAAATATGATCCAAAGGGCCTGTCAGGGGAGATTCATGCAAATACATGAACTAGTTCAGAAACAGTAATGCAGGAAATAACCTACCCTCAAAAACACGAAAACATGCTTTTTCAGTGTTTAAGAAATAAGAGGCCATCATCACTCTCCACCACCAAAATGTGCTTTTCTGAGGAAACAGCGGATTAAGTTCATATAAATTAGCAACCCTTGCATAAGATGAAATACTCTGCTTGAGCCTCCCTCCTGTGCAGAGCAGGAACCTCTCGCAAATCTTATGGACTCTGCTCATCACACCTGTGGGATCTTCTGCTTCTAACACCCCTGGGGGAAACGGGAGCTGGGACACAGCTCTAGATGGCAGCACAAGGCCACGAGGGGCAGCAGGTCCTTCCCTCCTGAATGCCCTACAAACCTTTAGAGATGGGCAAAAAACCAGGTTCCTGGAACACACTAAAACTCTTCAGGGAAGCAAAACCCGCAGAAGATGTTAGTTCTACTTCACATAATTCGTGACAAAGTTTTCAATTTGAATAAACTCATGCGAATAAACCGCAGTCACTCCTTTAGTTGCTGTATAAATGGGGAAGAAAAACCATATGAAGTTTTGGCTCAGCCATTAACACACATGTTCAAGAGCAAAGCCAGTGTGAAGGGAGAATAACTTCCAGCTTGTCAAAGGCTTCAGTAAGTGATTCCCTTCCAGGCTGAATTCATCCAATCCCTTGTGGGGCAATATAACTATGAGCTTATTCCAAAGATGGGAATCAATGCTGTCTAAATTAGCACAACTGATGTTATAGGATGTCAGCTGGGTTCTCATGGTAAAAATGAAGGAGCCCTGATTATAAAAGCAGTTTTAATTCTTGTTTGGAACTAAAAAAAAAAAGTAAATAAAAATAAAGATTTACAGGCTGATTTATGCCCTGGCATTTTAGCATCCCCACTAGTTACAGCAGACTTTTTTCTTGTAGCATTTCATAAGATGATCAGATGGAAACCAGACCAGTTTCTCCCCTCCTGCTAGTGGAAGGTCAATCCTCAAGGCAGCTCAGTCTTTGTTGTTGTTTAAACCTTGACAACACTGCTGGGATTGTCAGAAATAAGTGAAGGTTTATTTACATAGAATACCTGACCACTTAGAGCTCTCCTGAGCTCTCCTTTGTACAAGGCAGATTATGGATGAATCTTACAAATACACTTGCAATAATGCAAGGCAGTTGCTTTTGCACTTCATAAAAATAAACCCAGAGACCTTGGAAAACTTATTTTCCCTGATGGAGTTTTAAGCTGTTTTGATGAGCAGGATAGTGGAATAAAAAAATGCACACACAAATACTACTGTCTAAGGACACTCATAAAAGAGTATCTCCAAGGATGATGTCGCACACAAGTTAGAATACACTATTGTATCGAGTCCTGTGTTTCATAATTTAAATCAGAACTGGAAGAATGAGGCTGGAGTGATCAATTTCTTTTCAGGGATAGTGACTGAAAGAATAGTTCCCATTTCATAGGTTTTTTTGGTGCCTAAAATAGTCTGTTTTCAATCTCCGAGGGCTTATTTTTCTTTCTAAAGGTGGCGTGGGGCCTGGGGGACCCACTTAAAGTTTCTTGCCATACTTGGCCAAGAAACACAAAGTGTTGGTGAAGTATAAACACAGAGCCCTTTTTCTTTGAGCCATTCTGCAGTGTGATGGGATAGTGTTGTTAGTTTATGTGAGAGAAAATGGCATAGGCTTTCTGAGGAAAAAAAAAGGGAGAAAAAAGAAAAAAAAGTGGAATTGGATTAAGGCCTTTGTGCAAGCCTCAATGCTGAGGGGAATTAGCAATAGTTGT